GGAGGATGAAGCAGAGAGGAATATTGTGAATTTAAGTCAGCCTTGACTACACAGCATGATCTGTCTCAAGGTTTTCCAACAAAAGGTGTGTAGAGAAACGGTTTCATAGAGCTTTTTAGAAGGCAGTAGCTAAAATATATTTGTATTTTGTAGCACTAATCCATCATAAATGTAGCATTATCTGTGAATGTGCTGTGTCTAATAAAACACACTATGGCCATTAACAGCATTAGATGGGATGAGTGTTTGAATACATATGGTGACGAATGGGAAAGAGAAAGCATTTCCCAAGCCGATGTAAGTGCCACTGTTACGTCTGTAGTTTTGTAATTTGGGAATACAGGAGAATTTGTGGTCAGCTTGAGGGGGAGAGACCGACTCCAGGAGCTGTTTGTTCCTAGATGTGAGGGAAATGAGAACTGGAATAAGATTTAGTTTAGGGCCTAGCTTGACTGCTTGTGTGAAGTTATGTGGGCTGTATTTTTAGACCTATAAATGTGGGTAATATATACCTACTATGAGAATCATCACAATTAGATATGTACCAAATACAGTGTCCCATACACTGGACATACTTAGGTCTAAGGCACAGTTCACACTGTCCAGGTCCAGATAAACACGATGACTCTTGGCCTTTTAATGTCCTCCTCAAGAAAAAGGTGGCTTTCTCCAGATCACTGTAGCCTGGGTGATTTATAAGCAATACGAATTTATTTCTCATGGTTCCAAGAAAGAAGTACCAGTGGAAATGGTGTCAGTAAAGACTTGTTTCCTGGTTCATTGATGCCCCTTTTAGATTTGTCTTCATGGTAGAAAGGCAAGGCAGCCACATGGAGCCTCTGTAAGACCCTGTCCTCTAATGAGGGTCTCTCTTCCAGACCCAGTTACACCCTGATGCTGTCACATAGGCAATGGGTTTCCATGGAGGTTTTTGGGGACACAGATATTCAGCAGGTAGCAATGACTTGTAATTGATGTCAGCCTGGTGACAGCTGTAGTACTTCAGTACTGTTTATCATTTTTCTAACCTTGTAAAACTAAGATTTCTTACCATGAAGAGACTTTTGTTGACAACATAACTTTTTTGGCAAACAAACTACATTTTATAGTTACAGATACATACAGTTATGTGTAAATGGCAAGCACAATCAGGAATCATGTAACAAAGTTCTTCCTAGATATTTTTAGTCTTGGTAATGAATCATATAATTGAAGCCAGTAAAAATACTTTGGTAGAGTAAAAAATAGAATGAATTTGAAGCAGGAAAGAAGGCATATTAAGTCTATTTACCCTCAGTACCAAATGGTTGGTCACAGCTATTCCTGTAATACTAGCCAAATATAGGATGATGTAGGTAGGAGGCGTAAAGTTGGCTTGAATCAAGGCATCTTCCATAGTAGCATCTGAGGTCAATCAAGAAAGAGTTACATTGTAGTTAAGATGAATCTAGTCTGATACTTGTAAGCTGTAAAGAAAATTACCTTTAAAACATCCAAGAAACTGAAGTAAATGACCATACTGAGAGCTGTAAAACTTTACTGTCAATCCTCTTCATTAAACAATATATAAACAACAAAAGTCAACTGCTCACATATGTGTTGAATTTATATTGAGAGTCATAAATTGAAATAGTGATACAAGGATCAAACAGGTAAAAAGAGTTGTGTAAACCACAGTGGATGATGAAAAAATAAATTGGGATGGGTGAGATCAATTAACTGATTAACAGAGTCAGTTGCTATGAGAAAATATGTTGTGTATTCCCTTACCTGATGCCCTCCCTCAAAGTACAGGTCCTCCAGCCACATTTTGTTTTTAGAGCTTGTGTGTGTGTGTGTGTGTGTGTGTGTGTGTGTGTGTATATCCATCCATCCCATGTGTTCAGGTACACTTGCAGGCCATAAAAGTATATCAGATCTGGAGTTGGAGTTACAGGCAGTTATGAGCTGCCTGGTACAGGTGCTTGGGACAGCTTGAGTCCTCTGCAAGAGCAATAAGTGCTCTTAACCAAACTGACCTATCTCTCCTGTCCCCAATTTTTTAAAAAATATTTATGTGTGTGTTGGTCAGCCATGTGTATGAGTGACCATGGAGACCAGAAGAGAGTGTCAGAGCCCTTGGAGCTGGATTGACAGTTATAAGCTTCCAGATGTGGGTGCTGAGAGCTGAACATGGGTCCTGGAGAGTACCAAGTGCTCTTAAGTAGCTGTTGAGCATCTCTCTCCTGCCACCTACAATTTTGTTTTTGTTTACAAGACATGACTTTTGTGTGTAGCCTTGGCTGTCCTGGAACTCACTCTGTAGATAAGCCTGACCTCGAATTTATAGAGATCCACTTGTTTCAGCCTCTCAAGGGCTGGGATTAAAGGTATGGGCCACTACCAACTGGCTTAGCCTATATATATAAAATTTTTTTGGTGTAAGGAGTGAATGTAGGACTTTACACATACTAGATGAGCACTCTACCACTGAACTACATCCCTAGACCACTTTCTCCAAATTTTGGCTATATTTGAGTTAGGGTCCTCTTTCTGTAGTCCAGACTGATCTGGAACTTGCTAAATGAACCACACTGGACTGGAAATTGTGGTGTTTGCCTGGGGGCTCTTCCTCTTGACTGCTAAGATTACTGGGATCCACATCAATTCTGGATCTTCTCCAGATTTTAAATATCAGCTCACCTTTTAAAAATTCATAAGAGCTTGTATATAATTCAAATGAAATGTGTCAGTTTTGTTCACTGCTGTATCTCTGGGCTGATGAATTCAACTTAACAGGCCTTAAATTAGTTCTGTTGCTACCCCTCCCTATCTCCTTCCCTTCTCCCCTTCCTCCCCCCCATCTGAAAAGCAGTGTGCTTAAAAGTAAGCAGCAAGCATTGCCAGAAATGCAGTTAGAAAGTTGACTGCCATAGCTTAAGTCTGGTGTTGGGATTTACATATTGTGGCATTTGTTCCTTAAAAAACAAAACCAAAAAAAAAAAAAGTAGTACATTGTAGCCTTGGCTACTCCCTGGGACTCCCTCTCTCAGGCATACCTCATATGTGAACGAATATATCCTGTCTCGGATGATATTTGTTAATATACTAGTTTTTTGGTTTGTTTTTGTTTTTTGGACACGGTTTTTTCTGTATAACAGCCCTGGCTGTCCTGGAACTCACTCTGTAGAGCAGGCTGACTTGAAAATCACAGAGATCCACCTGCCTCTGCCTCCTAAGTGCTAGGATTAAAGACTTGTGCCACCAAGCCCAACATGGTTTCTCTTAATTAATATTTTTGGTTATCATAGAGTAGACTTCATTATAACATTTCAAACGTGTCATACTTGGTTTTTATTCCTTCACACCATTTCATCCATTGCCTCTCCTATGTTCCCTCCTTCCTTCAGAATGACCCTTCTGATGACATTAGGATTACCTAAGGGCTGGAAACATTCATAAATCTAAGTAGAGTTTCCTATTTGTAATGAAAGTACTACAGATCAATCAGGACCTGCTTCCCCAAAAGACGGCTGTATCAGCTCTGCTTACCACTTAACATGCCAGTAAACATTGAAACACAGGGACTGATAGCCCCCAGAAACACTTCAAAATGAAACCTGTGGTGTGTTCTTGAGTGTATCTAGAGATGTAAAACACTTCAGGAGAAGTGAGCTACAGTGAATTCAAGGAATTGAATCTCAAACACCAAATACTAAAGTGTGGGTTATCCTGGTCTCAGAAACTTGTTTCAAAGTTTTGGTCGAGGATTTTAGTACTTCTGTAATGTATTGAGTCAGTAATCAGTAACTGATTTCTTTTTTGTTTGTTGTTTTTGGGTTTTTTTTGTTTTTGTGTGTGTGTTTTTTTTTTTTTTTTTTTTTTTTTTTGGTTTTTCGAGACAGGGTTTCTCTGTGGCTTTGGAGGCTGTCCTGGAACTCACTCTGTAGACCAGGCTGGCCTCGAACTCACAGAGATCCACCTGCCTCTGCCTCCCGAGTGCTGGGATTAAAGGCGTGCACCACCAACGCCCGGCTTAGTAACTGATTTCTTAATGCTAAGTTACATCATAGCTGGAAAGTCCATTTTCTCCTTTTCTGTCCTGGTTGCTCTAGCCTTGACTACCTGTGTCTGCACCATGACCCCTTCCTTTGGGAGGAGGCAGTGGAGGATAATGAAAGAACTTTGTCTTGGAGCTTGTGGAACTGCATTCCAGATATTATTCTGTAACAGCTACAACCTTTGACCTGTCAACTTGTTTGGGTGAAATATGTGTGTATGTGTGTGTGTGGGGGGTGAAACCCAGAATTGTGAATTTTAAACTAAGTGCGCCATAGACTTTAGACTCAGAGTTATTGAATGAAATTGTTGTGTTGGCCCTGGACAGTGATGAGTATACCCAATGGCAATAAACCTATCAACTCACATCTCCTTCTTAAGCCACAGGTCGGTCCCCTCTTGTTTTTATTTTCATTGTATTTTATGTGTGTGGTGCTGGGATAGAACTCAGGGCTTCCAGTATGTGAGGCAAATGTTCCACCAATTACTTATTCCCCGACCTTTCTTGTTTTGAAATTACACTTTCATCTGCTCTTACCTGATCACCCCACCTGTACCCCATACCTCCAATTCTTTTCTGAACTTACTGTACACTCAGAATGTAGACCTAACAGTGGTGCTGTGTTAACTTTTTTTCACACTTCTGTTGTGGATGCCTTTGGAGGGCATTGAATCCCCTGCAGTTACAGTCATGAGCCTTCATATGGGTGCTGGGAATCAATCCCAAGGCCTCTGCAAGAGCAGCCAGTGCTCTAAGTATGAGCCGTCTCTCCAGCCCATCTGCACCATTGATACATCAGTGCCAGTGCTTGTGCTCACTCTCACTCGCTGTCTCTCTCCCCTCACTGTCTCTCTCCCCTCACACCAACTGAAAGAGAAAAGAGAAATAACACCTCCCCCAATAGCTGCAACCAATTTTTAAAAATAATGTGACTTATCTTTTTTTTTCATTTTTTTTCTAGGTTTTTAGAACATTAGCTCTCAAAATGGGCAGAATCTTCCTTGACCATATTGGTGGTACCCGTCTGTTTTCTTGTGCAAACTGTGACACAATCCTGACCAACCGCTCAGAACTCATCTCCACTCGGTTCACAGGCGCCACTGGTAGAGCATTTCTTTTTAACAAGGTTGGTGGAAAAAAGCTTCATTCCTACATAACTTCAGTGGATACCTTTGACAGCAGCACTAGACTATTCCTTCAAGAGTTTATAGATACCAGGAAATATCAGAATGGCAGCTGAAACTGCAGAAGTGGCTGCCTATTAGCTTGTCTCTGGGATTTCAGGGATACATTACTGGAACATGATTTTATTTATTTATGTATTTATTTTTATAAAGCCTAAATAAAGAAAAGAAGAGATGTAGGCTGTGGTGTCTTCTGTCTGTAATCCTGGTACTTGGAAAGCCAAGGCATGAAGAACAAATTGGAGAACAGTCTGAGAGACACAGTGAGTTATATAGGCCTGTTGGACTAGCTTCAGCTACACAGTGAGCTCTGTCTCAAAACAGCAATAAAAGAGAATGGGTCTCTGTCTTCTTCTGTAAATGTTCAGTGTAAAAATTTTAGTTACTTCATAGAATTTGGAAAAAGAAACTAACATACCCATCTTCTCTCCCTTCTGTGTCACTGATTGATCCATTAAGGGAGATAGCTATAGCTTATTTGTTGGAAGTGAATCTAGCTGTCTTCTCTTGTTAATTAATGGTTGCTAGTCAACTTTCTGAATATCATTTGGTTTCTTTAGGCTTACCCAAAGGAAAAACATTTACAGTTTGTAAATGTGTGTTTAGTGTGTTGGGCTATGAAATTTTGGACCCGTTTTGAGATTAGTTGATGTGATTGTATAACCTGGAGCCTAGCAAAGTTGACTTTCCAAATCTTTTAGGCTAAGAAACAGATGTAATCTTGTTAGTGTTTTTAGAATGTCAGATAAACTTTTCATTAGAAATTGTTCCTCTGTTGCATGAGTAAAGGAGCTTCTCTGAGAGAATCAATAGCATATTCCTTTTACAGAGGAAGAGTTGACACTGTGGTAGGCCAGCTGTCTGTTAACTGTAAATAATCTTCAATCTCCCTCATTCATTTACTTAAATAGTTCCAGTTTTTGTGTTAAGAGTGTCAAATTGAAATTAAGATTGTATAACCTTTAAAGCCAAAATTATTTACGATTGATCTTTTAGAATGGTTGGAAATTCTCCAACTTATTTTAGAATCCAATTCTTGTGTCACTATCTTTGCACTTCTTGAAAACTAATATGTTGCATTGGATAGTGTGTTATAGGTTAGCCTATCCCAACCTGTTTGTATATGCAATATGTTTTCAGAAGTAAATATGACACTTTATGGAACACTGAGGTATTGTAATAGGTGTACTTTGATTATCTTACATTCATCACTACAGAGTAAAGTAACAACTGGACCCTAACTTATATCTCAGTTTCAATTCCAGGCCTTTTCCTTCACTGCAGCCAGAAATAGAACTACCAAATATAAATGTTGAAACTTGGACTTGTCTAGTACTATATAAAGATTGCATTAGATTAGGGGCCGAAAAGATGCCTTGGAAGTTAGGAGCACTAGTTGCTCTTGTAGCAGACAAAAATTTGGTTTCTAGCATCCACATGGTGGCTCACAACCATCTGTAACTAGTTCTAGGGGATCCAGTGCCTTCTAACCTCTGCAGGCATCTGACACATATGCATCATGCTGCCAGAATACCTACATAAAAATTAAGTCTTTCAAAATTCCTACCCAGTACAGTGCAATTTCCAGATGTTTCCTGTCTCAACAATGTATTTTTTTCTTTGATGTGTGTGTTGAGGGTAGAGTTTGAGATAAGAGTCTCCTATAGCTCAGGCTGACCTGAAATTGACCTATATGGGTAAGGATGACCTTGAACCCCTTCTTTCCTTCTGTCTCCCAAATACTAGGATTACAGGCCTAGCTATTCCAGCATTTCTTAAAACCAGCCCTAGGTGACTATCATTAGTGTAACTACACTTGCTTTGTGGTGGTTTTGTGGCAGGGTCTCAGTGTGTAGTGAGGCTGATCTCACCTCAAACTCATGATCCTCCTGCCTTGGCCTCTCCACACTGGGATCATGGGGATGCACATCTCTGTGATTCTCGATTGCTCATACATTTACTTACTGTCTCAGTTGGCGGCTAACTTACATGACTTTACAAAGGTTTTTGTGTGTTCATGTTTTTATTTATTTATTTTTTTTAGGTAGTTAACTTGCAATACAGTGAAGTTCAGGATCGGGTCATGCTCACTGGCCGCCACATGGTTCGAGATGTAAGCTGCAAAAACTGCAATAGCAAACTGGGGTGGATCTACGAGTTTGCTACTGAAGACAGCCAGCGTTACAAGGAAGGCCGTGTGATTCTGGAACGAGCACTAGTTCGAGAGAGTGAAGGCTTTGAGGAGCATGTACCATCTGATAACTCTTGAAGAAAAAAGATAAATCCATCTTTTCCCAGGTCTCCTTCACTGAAAACAAAAATCTACTTACATACACTGTCACCTTAGCATCAGAGTCGGATTCATGAACTGCGGAACAAGAGGTTGTGAGAATCTAAGATGGAACCTTTCTTTCTCTTTTTTTTTTTTTTAATTTTGTATTTCCCATCCAACAGCAGTTTGTAGAAAGAATATTATGCAGGTGCCGTTAATTTTTCCCTATGTTTACATCTTGAGGCAGGAGTCTGCAGCTACATGGGCTATGAGGGGAAAATTAGGCCACTAGAGTGAAAAGGAGTGTTTGTGTACATTTTGGATGGAGAATATGTCTAGAGCATGGTTTTTAAACTTATTTGGGCTTCATTTTAAACTTTCTTTTAAACCCAGTTATTTCACTTAATTTGCTAGCTTCAAGAAGAGATCCGAATCTGTGCCCAGCGCTGGAGGCTCAGTGTTAGCGTGGCTTGTGCTGGCCAGTGTGCCATATTCTTGTTGGAGAGGAACTGTAGCACCAGAACCCATTCTTCCTAGTCAGTCTTGACCCACAGATGTCACCATCCCTAGTTAATTGTCACCATGTACTTGGTGTTGATTGGAAACTTTCTGAAATGGGGCAGAACTGCTTGGCTGTCTTTCCCGTGTAACTTAAGCATAGTAATATAAATAAAGTGATAGTTGGATGCTTTGGTCCTGTGTTACTTCTAAAAATATCTTTTAAAAGAGCAGAGGTTTGATAAGTGGTTTTCTTAGTAGTTAAAGTGTTTCTTCTCAATATTAAGCAACATCGACTATGTATAAGGTAATTGTGTAAATGGAAGAATACTGTTTAAATGCAGATGAGTAGAATGTCAGTGTGCATCCTTGCATAAACTATTAATCTGCATCTGTTCGAAAATGAAGTGGCTTATCTAAAAATACTGCTTCACAAAGTGTTTCAGCCTTCCCCCTCATTTGTGAGTTGATTTTGACAAGTCTGTAGTGCCTAATAGTTTCATCAAAGGCCTGGATCTCTCCTTAGCATCATTTTTCACATCTTCCCTTAGAAGTTCAGCTATTGCATTTGAACTGCACTTGATACCCTCTATTGGAAAGAGATCAGAGTTGACTCAACTTAATCCTAAATGCATGACCTTACAAAGCATTAGAATATGCTTCTTTATTTATCCAGATCACTTCTAGGCAAACCGGCACTTGCTTTTGGTGAAATAAAGGACAGGGAAATCGACTTGTTATACAGACGAACACACGAATGTTTGTATGCTCAGTTTCCAGGTGTTCTAAATGAAGGAAATCTGCTTGAGTTGAATAGGTGACATCTTTCTGCCATTGATACTAAAAGTGATTTCTGAGTACAGTAAAGCTTCTGTAGTTGGCTTTGCACTCTTGGCTAGTGCCATGGTTGTGTAGGGATAGTATAATACTCCATTTTTAGTGAGTGAACACAACTCTATCTGCAACTTGGACGATATGCAGATTCCTAGTTGCATGTCTCACCTACAGCACCGGGTGCATTGCTGTCAAAATAAAGTATATTTTGTCATGCATCGGTGCAGAACTGCTACTTATTTTTCACTGATCTATTTGGGGATCATCTTTGTCATTTTTAATCTCTAAACACATAGGCTTTGTTTGTTTTGAGATGGGATCTTACTGTGTGGCCCCGGATGACCTGGGACTTAACTTGCTACTTAACAGTAGGCTGGCGTTGAATTTGTTACTGAGATTTCGGTGTGCACCACCACACTCGGCTACCTCCATGCTTTTGAACAGCTATTAGTTGCTTTGCTTGGCAGTAGTAAAGTGATAGTTAAACTATGTCTGAACGCACTAAATTTGACAGTGGTAAAGTGGTAGTTAAATTATGTCTGAATGCACTAAATTTGCTATCATTAACTTCTGAGGTAATTTTGCCATAGAATCAACTAGTCTAGTATATATGAAATTTTAATTAGTTAATAATTATAAGTAAATGTCACGCTACTAGGTTAACTCAGGTATCTGGCAGTTTAAACAACAAGCTACTTCATTTTAAAAACTTGCATTTGCTGGACTAAAGTGTGGCTCCACAGTAAAGTGCTTAGTATACTGGAAGGCCTGAGTGTGATCCCTAGCACTGCAAAAATAGAAATCCCATTTTGAGGATGCTTTAAAAACTGGAGGAGGGTCTGGAGAAAGAGGACGCTGCTCTTCCAGAAGACCTGAGCTCAGTTCCCAACACCCTGAGCCTGTAACTCAGCTCCAGTGGAGATCCAATGCCTCTGGTCTCTGAAGACTCTTGAAACTAAATACACATTCCTCCTGTACTCCCAACACATACACATAACGAAAAATAAATTTTCAAATGACCAGCCGACAGCCGTTGGTGGTGCACACCTTTAATCCCAGCACTCGGGAGGCAGAGGCAGGCGGATCTCTGTGAGTTCGAGGTCAACCTGGTCTACAGATCGAGTTCCAGGACAGCCTCCAAAGCAATACAGAGAAACCCTGTGTCTCGAAAAAAATTTTCAAATGACCAGCTGATATTTTTAATTGAAGGATCTAGTCAGATTGGGTTATTTACAAAAAATCAAGTGGGAACATTAGTTCCTAGGAATAAATGGATATGGTAGTCTCTCCTGCAAATTACAGTGTGTCAGAGGATGACTTGCAAGTTTGAGGCCTTGCTGGGTTCCAGACAGTTCCAAGCCAGTATAAGCTATTGCCTGCATGAAGCTCTTGTCTTCACAAAATTAGGATGATTTTGTTTGTGGGCAGGAAGTTAACTGATCAAATATATTTTTATATCAGTACATGGGATATACAAGTGTAACCTTTTTTTCTTTGAAGGCTTTGGGATTTTTAGGATTCTTAGTTTTAGGTGACAGCCATTAAACATATTTTAAAAGCTTATTTAAATTTTTAATTGTGTTTGTGTGTATATGTTGTGAGCAGCATGTGAAAGTCAGAGGACAACCCACAGGTATTCTCGCCTTCCTTCATGTGGATTGGAGGAATAGAGCTCAGGTCATCAGGCCTGATAGTAAATGTGTCTGCTGGTTGAACTACCTCAGGCCCATTTTTTTAAAGAGATGCTAAACATAATGTTACAGTTGTGAAGAGCTACTTTGGGACTGAAAGGAAACATCCATTTCATAAATTTATCTATTCATGAGTCCTATAGTATGTTTAAATTTGAGTATAGGCCTCAGCCAAGGCATCAGTCCATAAGTAATCTTAGATAAGGTGAAGCAGGTAACTCCTCACTATAAATTCAGAAACACATTTATCAGCAGGTGAGATAACTCAGTCAGTGTAGCATGCTTGCTGTTTAAGCATATGAGTGCTTGATTTTGAATCCCCAGAACCATAAAAAGCCAGGTCCAGAAGCAAGCATCTCTAGTGCATACTGAAGTATCCCGCAGCAGAACAGGAGGCAGGTAGGAGAACTCTCAGCTAGCTGGCCCACAACCTTCCTTGCAACTCTGCTGTCTGTACCTCCTGTCTTGCAATGGCAGTACTGGAATTACAATGTGGTACCACCTCCAGCTTTTTACATGGGTTCCGAGAATTGAACTTAGCTTAGCTTTTGTGTGAGTTCCTTAAGATGCGCTTCTTGTAACGTGTATTCTTCCCGCCAGCCGCCTGAGTCCCACCACTGTCTCAGTCCCCAAGTAACACACGAGACACTATATTAATTATGAAGCTGTTGGCTATTTGCTTGATTTCTTATCAACTAGCTCTGACTTAATTATTAACCCATAACTGCTTATCTGAGTATTTCCACGTGGTCTTCTCTTACCAGAGAAAGGGTCTGGATCTCTTAATTCTCCTGCATCCTAATCGTGATTCACTGTGCCTCTCTTTCCCAGAATCCTCCTTGACTCCTAATCCCACCTATCTTGCTTCCCTATTGGCCAACAGTGCTTTATTCAACAACTAATAAGATAAGCACATACACAGAAGGACTTCCACCATCAGCTTCTTGGATTCAAGTTTATATAGTAGGGCAAGAAATAATGCACTGAGGTTTTGTTGATGGTTGTGATCCTGGACATCACATGACACAGTCAAGCTACATGAGCACCTAGGACGTTCATTAGATATGTGAGGGAAGTACTTTGTTTCTTTCTCTAGTCCTGAATGGCTTTTTTTTCCAGCAGAACTCTCAAAGTAGCATGTCTGCTAATGTTAGTACATGAGGATCACTGTTTATTAAAGTATTGTTTGACTATAAAATGTCCATCGAAGGCTCGTGTATCTGAACCCTTTTGTCCCCATCTGATGGTACTGTTTTGGAGGTTGGGGCATGGGGCATAGTTGGCTGATGTAGGCCACTGGGTACAAGCCTTACAGGTGATATCCAAACCCTGCTACTTTCCCCACTCTGCTTCTTAATATGTTAAGGTGTGAACAGCAAGCACTGAGAGCCTCTACCACGGCAGACCAACCCATTCCAGTCACCATGCCTTCCTCATGTGAGAGACTGTACCCTGTGAAGCTGAGACCAAGCAGACCTCTCTCAAGCTGTGCTGTTCTGTATTTTGTCTGGGTACAGGGACAGGAAGAGAAATTAATACAAAGTGTTAAAAATCAGGTGGGTGTTGGTGGCACATGTCTTTAGTCCCAGCACTCGGGAGGCAGGAAGATCCCTGTGAGTCCGAGGCCAGCCTGGTCTACATAACGAGTTCCAGGACAGTCTCCAAAGCAATACAGAGAAACTCTGTCTCAAGAAACAAACAAACAAAAGATTAAAAATCAATGTTTCCTATGGTACCATGTGGGCAAAGCATGTTTGCCGCCAGAGGGTCAGAAGAGTGGCTAAGAATAAAAACAAAATGTGACAGTTTTGTTTTCCTGCTTAAAGAATAGTGAGCTGGACATGATGGCATATACTTTAATCCTAGTACTAGTGACTCTTAAGATGGATAAATAAAAACACAGTATAAAGACTAGTCTTCCCTGGTGACCAACTTAGTTGACTTTTTGACTCTGGGAAGTCAACGTCTAAGCTTTTTCAAGGGCTGACTGAAAGACTTCTTAAGTGATTCTCAGACTATCCTGTAGATGTAGGCCATATGAATGCAATAGTAGTATGCAAATTGGGGCAGAACTTTTTCTCTGGTTTCAGTAATCTTGAGTAGCTCTTCGTGTTGTAATCCAATTCTGTGCTGAGCTGAAGAGGGACCAGATGCTTTGAGAGTTCCTTAGTCCTTCCTAGGGTTGACATACACCACATTTGCTAGGTCTTTCAGAAATGAAGGCATTCAATCTGCACTTGAATCACATTGTCATCTTGTGGGGTTAGGACTTTTGATAGTCTGCTGTGACAGACACTTGGCATGGCTTTGCTTTCAAAATCTTCAGTGCTCCTAAATTTCTACCACCATGGAGCAGAAAGGAAGAAAACATGAGAAGGCCACTGAACACAACCTCAGTGGTGAAGTACACCATTACTATTGGCTATAGTTGGTGTTTTGTTTGTGGTTGGTTGGTTGGTTAGTTTGGAAGGGATGTTGAGACCGTCTCTGCTTCCAAGTGCTGGGATTAAGGGTGGGTCTCATCATACCTACCGGAACCAGACATTTCCAGAGCTGCTGCTGTTTTTTATCAAACATGATTTAGCTTCTTGCAAGTGTGTGTGTGCCCCTCAGCCCCAAGGCTAGCCTCAGCTGTTCCACAAGCTCAGTGGCACCTTCAGTTT